GCTGCGGAAATTTGCATAGCGTACTCCGCCCTACTCCGTGAGTATAAAAAGAGGAAGTGAACGCAACCGCAGTATGTTTTCGCTTCGGAGCCAAGAGAACTCTTCACTCCTGAAAGCCATTCTCACTGTTCAAGACTCTTCGAGACGAGCGTCCTCTTCAGTGTTGGTGTGACGGCGGTACCCAGCGAGATTCTGCATCGCCTGCGATCTGAGCAGTGGTCTGCCAGACTTTGCGCTTCTCCCTGGTCGCCTCAGCGCTGAAAGAGTGAATTTCCTCCTTTCTAAGTGAAAGTGCTGCACGCGGCACGTCTTTTTAAAGACGACTCGCCCGTGTTCTTCTGGGTGCGGTCGTTTCATGTCATTTTCTGATGGTCGCGATCGCTGCTCTGTGTGTGCCTGGGCTTCAGCATGCAGTAGCAGCGTTCGCGGATGACTCATGTTCCTTCTAAAGGGGAACATAAGCATCTCTACACTGTGATCGAGACTCAATGATCTGATAGTGAGAGTCCCCGTGTCCGTTACTCGTTCTGCTTCTAAAAATAGAAGCTCTTCGACTCACGGATAGGGTGATATGACGGTGAATGTGTGACACTCCCCCCGACATTAGTTAAAGCCTCGGGTCACACCCACCGCTCCAGTGTTAGAGCCAGTGAGCGCTGTATCGCTTCAGACGTCTGCCTCTCTGAGGTACCGTCTGTTTCGTTCAGCGCTCCAGAGAGTGATGCGATGACGATCGCAGCATCACAAGGCGGGCTTGACTCCTCGGGAAGTGAGGATGCGGCCGCGTTGCCTCCCTCGGAGCGTCGGAGTCGCCGTGTCTGATCCCGCGATGATGGCATGCTATCTCGGGCCTCCGTGAGCATCGGGTGGGTGAAACTCCGCCCTATCCCGATCTCTCGCGGATGGATAATTGGTTTTTGGGTAACGCTGCCGCCTCACGGCCACGGCCAACCCCAATTTCCTTTTTCCCCGAGTTGCATGCGGAACTGACATGCACTTAAAAAAAAAAAGTCCCCCACCCCTCAGGCCGTGTGCCCCGCTAAACGCCAGGCGAAGCAATGTTCCTGAGGTGGGCCGCTCAGTGATAGTGTCATGGTTTTTCTCAGGAGGCGGTAGCAGGGCCCCTCCTTTCCCCGGTGGAGGGCCGGTGGAGAATCTTTTGTTCTAGCTAGCTCCTTGAGCTGGTTGAGGAAAAGCTGACACTGTCATTGAGCACACAGACTGGAATGAGCGCGCACGACGTCCAGTGCGTCGCCCTGTTCATTCCTCTCTGTCTCTGAGGGTGCGGATGGGAGCGTGTGCCGTCCCCCGACTACACCACTCCCCTCCCCCTCTATCGCCAGACCCCCGGCAGAACAGACCCCCGTGGAACGCTCTGCCTTCCCTGGTCTCTTCTGTTGGGGAACGGGGATCGACTGTGCATCCGCACAGGGTAACCCCCGTGCGCATGCCGGTCTCCCTGTACCGCTGCCCCTCCGGGGGGACGTCTGTGGTTCGCATGACTCCGCTGGTTCAGTTCCTGGGATCCCGACTAGAGCTCCCCGACCTGTCCCGCTGCGTCATCAGAACGATCAGATTCGGCTACGCGACTCAGTTCGCGAGGTCTCCTCCCCGCTTTAGGGGAGTTCGCTCCACGGTCCCGAGGTGGGCATGGCATCGCGGCTCGCTCCGAGTTCCAGTGACTCCAGCGTGCCGCCGAACCTTCTTCCCGTGGTCGAACCTCAGCTTTTTACGGACCGGCGTCCCTATTCAGCGAGATTCCAGGTATCTCGTTGTCTCCACGGATGCGTCTACCACGGGTTGGGGTGCCATGTGCAATGGGCATGCAGCCGCGAGTTCCTGGACAGGACCCCAGCGCCTCATGCACATCAATTGCCTCGAGCTGCTGGCAGTACGTCTCACCCTGCACCGCTTCCGAGCGTTGCTCAGGGGCCAGCATGTGCTTGTCCGTTCAGACAACACCACGGCAGTAGCGTACATCAACCACCAGGGGGGTCTACGCTCACGCCGGTTGTCGCAGCTCGCCCGCCACCTCTTGTTATGGAGTCAAAAGCACCTGAGGTCCCTTCGTGCAGTATACATTCCAGGAGACCGGAACCTGGCAGCCGACGATCTGTCACGGGTCTGTCCTATCTCCGGCGAATGGCGACTCCATCCCCAGTCGGTCCAGCTGATTTGGGACCAGTTCGGGGAGGCACAGATAGATCTGTTCGCCTCCCGGGACTCATCCCACTGCGCCCAGTTTTATTCCCTGACCGACGGTACGCTCGGCTCAGATGCGCTGGCGCACAGCTGGCCGCGGGGCCCACACAAGTATGCGTTTCCCCCAGTGAGCCTCCTTGCACGGGTGTTGTGCAAGATCAAGGAGGACGAGGAGCAGGTCTTGCTGGTAGCCCCCTATTGACCCACCAAGACGTGGTTCTCCGAACTCTTGCTCCTCGCGACAGCACCTCCTTGGCCTATTCCTCTGAGACAAGATCTACTCACTCAGAGACGGGGCACTCCGTGGCACCCTCGTCCTGATCCTGGAGACTACACATGTGGCTCCGGGACGGGACGGGGCAGGTTTGAGTTCGTTGCCACCTGCGGTGGCGGCAACCATCACTTCCGCTAGAGCGTCGTCCACGAGACACCTGTACGCGTTGAAGTGGAACCTCTTCGTCAGCTGGTGCTCTTCTCGCTGAGAAGACCCCCGGAGATGTTCGATCGGAGTCGTGCTTTCCTTCCTGCAAGAAAGGTTGGAGCGTAGGCTGTCGCCCTCCAACCTTTGGGTTTATGTCGCAGCCATTGCCGCGTCTCATGATGCAGTGAAAGGTAAGTCTATGGGAAGCATGACCTGGTCATCAGGTTCCTGAGGGGAGCGAGGGGGCTAAATCCGCCTCCCTCCCCTCCTGCCCTCTGGGGACCTCTCATTAGATCTAAGTGCTCTGCAGAGGCCTCCCCTGGAGCCTTTGCAGTCGGTAGAGTTTTTGCCCTGTCCTACGTAGACAGCACTCCTGATTGCATTGGTCTCCATCAGGAGAGTAAGGGACCTGCACGCACTCTCTGTTAACGAAGTGTGCCTGGAGTTCGGGCCGGCTTACTCTCACGTATTCCTGAGACCCCGGCCTGGATATATGTCCAAGGTTCCTACCACTCCCCTCCGGGACCTGGTGGTGAACCTGCAAGCGCTGCCCCTGGAGGAGGCAGACCCAGCCTTGGCACTGCTCTGTCCGTTACGTGCTCTCTGCACCTATGTCGACAGAACGCGGTGTTTCAGGACCTCAGACCAGCTCTTTGTCTGTCATGGGGGGAGCCAGAAGGGAAGGGCTCTCTCAAAGCAACGGCTGTCCCACTGGATAGTGGACGCCATTGCTTTGTCTTACCAGCAGCAAGGCTGTCCGTGCCCCCTTGGTGTGACGGCCCATTCCACTCGGAGTGTGGCCTCCTCTTGGGCTCTAGCGCACAGCGCCTCGCTAACAGACATTTGCAGAGCTGCAGGCTGGGCGACACCCAACACCTTCGCCAGATTCTATAATCTGCGAATTGAGCCGGTGTCCTCTCACGTACTCGCTTCCGGCGGTACTGGACCCGCTTAGGTGTCTTCGCTTGCTCGCCATTCCACTCCACGGACTGGATAAGTGCGATATCTCCTCAGTTCTTCCTTTGAAGCCTTGAGTCCTCCAGCACCTACGATGCGGGCACCACTGCTGTTGCTCTGGATGCTGGCTAGGTGCCTCCATGTGCACGGTTCCCCATGGTAACTGTCTCATGTGTATTTCCACTGTAAGCCTCTGTGAGCATGTGTCTTCCCTTGGCAAGCCATCTGCCACCCCTGGAGTTAAATTCCAGTAGCCACCTGCGGTTGGTGCTCCAGTGATTCCATATGTGTTCCTTGCGGCCATATGCGTATTTGTAAGTCCTCCCTTTGGTAGGCATCTGGTTGCATATCCCTCCCGGGATATGTTTCCCAGTGTACCTTGGTATTCCTGTGTTAAAGCGGGATCCCCTAAGGAAGGTTTTCAGGGGTCCAGACTTTCGCAGGGCACTGGAAGACAGCTTGAAGATGGCGTGATGGCACAGACCCCCAATCTCCGTCACTTCTGACGTAACTCGAAGTGACTACGAAAGGGAACGTCTCGGTTACGGATGTAACCCTCATTCCCTAAGTAGGAAACGGAGACGTTAAGTCTCCCTGCCACTTCTGCTGTATCGCTGGGTAGACGCCGAGTTCAGTCTTGGCTCCTCAGCGAAGACATACTGCGGTTGCGTTCACTTCCTCCTTTTATACTCACGGAGTAGGGCGGAGTACGCTATGCAAATTTTCGCAGCCCCAAGGCATTGCATGCCATTGGCTCGTTTTTAAATACTCGAAGAGGATTGGCTTTCTATGCGAAACCCCCAATCTCCGTCACTTCTGACGTAACGTCTCCGTTCCCTACTCAGGGAACGAGGGTTACATCCGTAACCGAGACGATATGTTCCTCTCCTTCTACTAGGGAAATATTCGAGGGGCAAAAAGTGGAAAGCAGAGGTCCAGTGCCCAGTTGAGTTCCCACCTGAGGGACATATGGTGATGGAAAAAATGCTCATCCTCTTTGAGCATATTTTACAGGGTAAATTGTATTTGCAAGCACTGATACCAAAATACTGTAGCTATACAAGTTTCTTTGTTTAACTACACTTTATTTCAAAGTTTTAAAATGACTTTAATTGTGCCTTTTTTAAAGGTTTGACTCCAGAAGAAGAAGAGGTCATAGAACAACAAATAGAAAGTGGGGAGGAAGAACCAGAGAGGCCTGTTGTGGAAGAGAGATTCGAAAGTCCAGGAAAATAACGGCAAGAGGACACAGAGGGTGATGGAACAGAAAGACAGGGCTTAGAAGATGAAGGGGCTGTAGAAGATGAAGACATTTTATCAGTGAAAAATGCAGACATTGAAGAACAACAGACGGAAAATGGAAGGGAAGAACCAGAGAGACCTGTTGAGGAAGAGAGAAGAGAGAAAGAGGGAGAAATATATTAAAACCAGAATGGTGAGTAGAAGATAATGGGGTGAAGCAAAGTCTATATATAATTATATAGAGTTATATATAGTTAATACTTTAGAAAAGTTAATATGTCATCCCAACTGCTGTTAGAAGCTCCGGTGGCTCTAGAAATAGACAGTATTCTGAGGGTCTGCTCATGACTGCTCATGCGCATTGGCTGCTCCAATCTGCTCCAATTTTTATTTATTTATTTATATATATATTTTGTATATATATATATATATATATATATATATATATATATATATATATATACTTAGGAATATAGCATAAACAATAATGAGACAGACTGTAGTTGTCAGATTTTATTGGTGATTTCAAATCTGAAATTGAACTAAGGCTAAAAAATTGTTTTCCTTCACAGCAAATCAGCTGTGAACATGGCAGCAAAGAGAAAGCGGCAAAAAAAGACTGACACAGGTATAAAATGTTACACAATACAGTCAGTTCTTTGCATTGCTTGTCTATTAAACATTTTCATCCATTTGGAAAGTTCTCATAATATTTATATTTGTTTCAGTGCTGTTTAGATTTTTAGATGTTTAAAAATTGTTTTGCATTCTAACTTTTAGACATCCTCTTTTCAAGTTAAGTAATTTATTTCTAACCAAATTCTACATTTGTACAGAATGTCCATTTCATGCGTCTCTGGACGTATTTCCAGTGGAATTTGTATCCAAGACGCGTCTCAGAAAGGTTTCCATTGTTCCTCAATCTCTTAATGTTGTATTTTTAATAATACCGGTGATGTTTTCATGTACAAAATTAAAAAAAAAAATAATAATAATTTATTAAATTAAGTAATACATTTATGTTTTTGCTGTGAATGGATCAGTATCCCAAAATATTTAGCTCTGTTATAATGTTAAGAGCTCCACATTCAATGTATGCTAATCTGTAGGGTACTTTATTGCAAAAAAATAAATATCTGCAATAGAATTTATATTTGCTTACTGATTACAGTATGAGTACAGGCAGTGCAAAAGAGCATAAGGTGGAATATCACACATCAATACACAAACAATGTAGCCTGGGTTTCCCCATGCTGCCTTGCCACAGTGCGATTTTATTCACACAGCTAGGCAGCCTGGACACCATTAACCAAATTTTTCGCTTGAGATAGGGAATCAATCACAGAACAGGCAGGGAGCAGCAAGACGATGATGATGTCTATGCGACACACCATAGCAGTTTGTTTATGTCTATGGATCCATCTCGGCAGCGGACGTGAAGTTCTTTTGATACAGCCTTTGTGTAAACATAAATCTCTGATTCATCGTCTTCTTCCTCATCTAATTTTCTGTCACTCTACATATGTAATTGAACCGATTTGCTATGAGTGACGTACAGACACATTTGATAGGCATTCGTAGCACCCAATAATACGTCTCTGGGCATTCGTAAACCATGCCTCAAATAGTAGAAAATGAATATGTGGTTTCCAGACCATGTCTCATTCTCAATGATACGTGGTCTGGCGCAAGGGCGTAGGGGGGACGTGTCCCCCCCACATTTTATAAAATGTAAATTTGTCCCCCGCACTTTTTCATAGTGGAAGTGTTCACGACATGTTGAGGTTTTCGCGAGCCAATGTGTATTTATAGATACAGATTTAAAATTCAAAGAGAAAAGATCGCCTATCTACTGTATCTACACGTGACTTTCACGTTGCCATGGTAATCAGTCACTCGCGCTCGTGCATCACCACACGCCCGTGCTCGCACCCGCACTGAATCCATCGTCGAAGGTCGAAAGGAATTTAAAACGGCGAAAAACACTTCACACTTTTTTTCGCAAAAAAGTCAAGAACTGTAAGTTGTAATGTGGTATCCGAATTTGGTTGCTCATTGTCATTGATGAATAACTTTGCCTAATTTTCTGCCATTATCGAACTTATTTGCTTGAATCATGCAGTGTTGTACTTGTAACATGTGTACATGATGTTTACCATATGATAAGGTAACACTTTACAATTAGATTAAAAAAGTTTGTAGACAAACGTTAAGTTTTCTTTAAAAAGCCTAACCAGAAAGTTTGAAGAAGTTTTAAAAGCATGAAGTTTGAATGTTTTCAATATGAATGACAGTTTTGGTTAAGTAAGACAGACAGACAGACAGACAGACAGACAGACAGACAGACAGACAGACAGATAGATAGATAGATAGATAGATAGATAGATAGATAGATAGATAGATAGATAACTAATGAAACCTTATTGTAAAGTGTTACCATTCAATATAAATGCAGTATGCAATTGTATGCATTAATGTTCTGATTTAGGTCTTAATTTATAGGGTTCAATAATATTATTGCACTAATTTAATGTTTTTTTTCTTCTTCTGTGTTGTCAAGATTGATCAAGAAACAGGGAGCCTAGGGTTGTCAGGTCAGAAAGAGGATGACACTCAAAAAAAAAAAAGAAAGTTCACAGGTGAAAAGTAATAGACTGGCTTTTAAAAAAAGCTTGAATCATGCAGTGTTGTACTTGTAACATGTGTACATGATGTATACCATATAATAAGGTAACACTTTACAATTTGATTAAAAAGGTTTGTAGACAAATGTTAAGTTTTCTTTAAAAAGCCTACCAGAAAGTTTGAAGAAGTTTGAATGTTTTCAATATGAAAGACAGTTTTGGTTAAGTAAAACAGATAGATAGATAGATAGATAGATAGATAGATAGATAGATAGATAGATAGATAGATAGATAGATAGATAGATAACTAATGAAACCTTATTGTAAAGTGTTACCATTTAATATAAATGCAGTATGCAATTGTAAAAAAAAAGGTATAATGCTTGACATTCTGTCCCCCTCACATTTGAAATGCTACGCCCCTGGTCTGGCGTTAACCAGGTTACAAACAATGATTAATAAAGTGAAGAATTGTAAATTCATATTTTATTATACAAATTCTGTACAGTACTACTGTGCTGTCTTCTACAGTGTAGTATGAATATAACATAAAATCTAGCTATATAACATGTAAAGTTCAGGTGTGAGTCAATTATGGGTCAGTTGTGGTTAAAATGATAAGAATCCTAAATGAAGAATTGGAATTCAAATTTCAGAATTAGTAAGTGATGTAATGATATGTACAGATTAAAATGTAATGATGATTTGTTTTGTAATTGGCTCTTTATTTTACCTAATTTACAGGGACGTAAAGAGGTGTTGGTGCATTGGTTGCCTTGTCCAGCCTGGTAAGAATAAGTAAACCTACATGGCAACGTAATTCACCTTTGTAAATTACAACAACCTCTGTCCTTCTCATTTATTGATTGCTGTTTTTACTTTTTCTCAGTAAGAAGACATGGCCACCCACCTGGCAGCCTGAAGATCATGTTCAAATTACTCTGAATCAATGTTAATAATATTACCGGTTCATGAAGAGAGTTTTTTGTTTGTTTGTTTGTTTTTGAACCACAGTTTCTGTTATAGTGGAAAAATAAAGGTTTTTGTTTTCACTAAGTCCATTTACATATTTTGACCTTTAAAAAGCACCACATTTTATGCCTGAAATATCCAGGTGCTGGAGCTTCTCCCAGCTACCACAGGCCAAAGGTATAACATCACCCTGAACAGATGAGCAGTCTGTCACAGAGACGACACACACGATATACCTGCATGTTTTTAATGTGCATACAACACTGGTGCAGCCAGAGGAAACCCACAGCAACACCGGGGAAACTATCAACCAGGAACGGCTCAAGGAAATATGAAGTCATTTGTAGTCTTACATTCTTACATAGTCATTTTTAAATGTAAGCCCATTGTGTGTGTAAAGTATTATATATATATATATATATATATATATATATATATATATATATATATATATATTATACTTTATATATATATATATATATATATTATATATATATATATATATATATATATTATACTTTTTATATATATATACTGGTTTAATCATTAAATATATGGATATGAACAATCAAATTCTCTCTAGACTAGAGGCTAGATGTACAATGAATGTTCAAATGTATATTATATTGTCATAATATATTATATTTCACATAGACACAGATTCTCTAAAATGGTCCCAGTAAGTTAAGTCTAGGGAAGCACCAGTACTGCATTAAGAATATTTGGTAAATACCATAGTAGAATTATCCAAAATGCACCCTTGTATACACTGTTAGACCTTACCAGGTATTTTACAGTAAAATACTGGCAACAGGCCAAATTCTGACACTATCATACCATTTTCCATTAAAACAGTAATATACAGTAGAAAACAAAACTAGCCTACAGGAATATACTGTGAATTAACAGCTCTCAAAGTCAACACTCAGAGACTGTGTTCCTAATCACACCCTACACCCTCATTCACTATTCCCTACATTAGTTCACTAATATAGTCCACTTGAATGAAAAGAAGTGAGTGAATTGAGACACTGATGAACACCTGATAAGCAGAATCACTGAAGGACAGAGAAACAAGAACTGAAAAAGAGAAACACAAGATCTACAACTGACTTCCAGCAACACAGAGTGTGAAAACAGTTTACAAACCAGTTTAACATTATTTATTTCATACATGTACAAAAGTTCTTGTTGAGAATTAACAGAGATTTAATTAATAATAAAGTTTTTTGTCACCATAATGGAGATCAGTATTTGCTTTAGTAGGCCTCTTATCCCTGGATTTGTTACATTTATCTTTCTCTGACTGCTGTTACAGTGAGTCTTAAAACACATTTGTTGTAGCTAGAAAAAGTCAAGAGGAAGTTGATCTGGTGTTATTGGCTTCTGTGATGATGTCATGATCATTCTGGATATGTCTGATTTTCAGATCTTTCCTGTTTATACTCTTTGAATAAATGGGTATTTAATATGAAATATACATTAAGTTATGATTATAAAATAAATCTGTGAATATACAACATGAAATCAATATGTTGGTTAATCATGTCTTCTGAATAATATTGTAATCATATAAAACATTTAAATAATATCCTGTTAAAGTCAGACACACACAGACATCAACAATTATAATATTCATCTCAACAACGGTAACATTCAAAAGTTTCATGCAGCAGTGCATGCTGGGTTCCAGGATAGTATAAAACTCCCAGCATGCACTGCTGCATGAATAAAAAAAAATTGCCACCATTATTGAGATTAATGTGCTAAATTTTGATATATTGGTGTTTCAACAACACTGTAGTGCTGTTTTGGATTATGTATGATATGTTAAAAACAAATAGTCGTAATTAATTGCTGTGGTTTCACGGTGGTCATAATGTAACACTTTTGGTTGAGATTTAAACTCTGAATAAGTAAAAATGAATTATTTAGTAAATGAATAGACCATATGACGATTGTCATGTTTTAAAAAAAATCATTACTAAACTGTGTGTCTGCACAAGTTCGACTTGCTTAAACACAGCGTCTAAAGAAAATATTGTGTGACAGCGTCAGCATACCAACTAAAGCAAACACTGATCTCTATGATGGTAACTTCAAACCAAACATTTTTAATTAAACATCTCAACAACATCTTTTATAGATGTATGACAGAAATAAAGCCATACTGGTTAATAATAAGTGTAATAATGTGTAATGGCTGAAGTCAGTTGTAGTTCTTGTGTTTCTCTATTTTCTGTTCTTGTTCCTCTTTCCTTCAGTGATTCTGCTTGTTAACAGCAGGTGTTCATGCTCAACAATCTCTTACATATTCCCTTAAATATCTCACTGCAACACTGCATCAATGTTAATTTTTACTCTGTAGTGTGAATTTTCCTGTGGGGTAGAAAGGGTTAACAGTGTAAGATAAAAAGACACTCCCACAAAATGTATTTTAACAGTAATAAACTGTAAGTTATAAAACAGGTTTATACTGGCAACACTGTTGCCAGTAGTTTACTGTAAAATATTGTTTTTTGGGTCACCGTTGTGCTGAAGAGTAGAGCCTGAGCTTCAGTCCAGGAGAAGATCTACAAACATTGATGATATGCTGCATGTTGCTTTATTTAAAAGGCCTGTCTGTGTTAGTTGCAGAATCTGGTGGAAATCTTTATTTACAAAAGTTAATTTTTATTGTTTCTAATTAAATAAGTTCACAATAATACCTTGCTCACATTATTAGTGCATTATACATTTAGTGGATTCTTTTAAGTTTGTTTCTGCAAGTTAAGTTAGTTAACTCAAGTTTTAGTCCATTTTTACAGTAAATAACTGCCAGTTATTTACTGTAAAAATGGACTAAAACTAATAAGTTGTATTTTTTTTAGTTAACTCGAGTTTTAGTGCATTTCTACAGTAAATAACTGGCAACAGTGTTGCCAGTATTTTACTGTAAAAAAACCTGGTAAGGTCTAACAGTGTAGCCAACTAATCCCGCTTATAATACGAACATAGAAGTTTTTCATTTTCATTTAATAGTGCTTAGACATAGCCTGGGAAAAAGTTAGGTCTGGCAAAGAGCTCATTCAAACCCATTTCCACCAATCAGAAACGTTGGGGCGGGCTTTACACAATGACGAGTGACGCCAGCGCTGCGATTTTGAAGCAGATTTAGTAGCCTACATTACAAAGATGAATGCCGCCGTCGAACATCACTCGCTCGAATCAGCTATCGCGTCTGTTTTAAGCGATTTGAACGTTTCCTTTAAAAAAAAAAAAAAAACAAGCCAAGAACAACACTCGGAGATGTTTCTCCACATCTCTGCAAACGTCATCTCCTTCATCGCTCTGATTGGTTTTAGGTCTATCCGCGAGGTCCGTCCGAAATGATTTGTCTATGACGCTATCCTAGACCATAACTATTTATTTTTGTTTTGGTTGTTTATGCTCTGTTATTGTTTGTATGTTACATTTCTGCAATAAAAAAAAGTTCACAGTACGTAGTTATGAGAACTGAGAATGTTTTGGCTTTATATATATAATATATAATTTCACTGTAATCAATAAATCTTTTGCTGCATCAGGTTAACCCCACAATGCAATCTGTTTTAGTTTGATATTGAATGGGGGCAAATAAATGTTTAAATGATATAATCTGTTCATTCACCACAATAACCTAAATAGAAGATCCTTTCATAAATGACCATGTATGGGCAAGTAAGTGTGACGAATCTGTTCAACTGAGTTGTCATTGGCTCTGACTTTCCCTTGGCACTCGCAGGATTCTCGAGTAGCACCTCAATGCAGTACATGAGATCCACGGGGAGGAGTCGGATCAAGATCCAAGGGGTGGATATGGGCAAGATTAGTTGTGGGTTTAGGGATTAGGGGGCGGATTTGGGTAGGTTTAGGTGTATGTAAGTTGGGAGGAGTTGGATCTGGATCCGACTCCTCCCCGTGGATTTCATGTTCCGCAGTGCAGATTTGCTGTGGTTGGACAATCTTTTAACCTTTATTAAAACCCGTTTAATGTTGCTAAGTCGGTGTTGCTGTTATTATCACGTCAGTAATGCATTCACTTAACAAAGTAGTGTTGCTATGTTGTAAGAAACTACCCCTTTACCGAGATCCTAACCCTAACCCTAAGCATAACTTCCCTGTGTGTGGAAGGACAGTAAAACATACTCAGATGTAACATCATGGGTAACAAAGTCTGTTGAGTCACATTAATTGTCTTTTCAACAACTTGCCATTTATGTTTTGTTGCAAGTTTATAAACACTGATAATATAGGGCACTTTCTGGGTGATTATTATTTTATATTTTTTTTACATTTTCTTGGTTACTTACATTAGGACAGCTCTAACCCAATGTGCAACCATAGACTACACTGTAAAAAATAAAATAGTAAAAAAAGGGTCAAATAACTGGCAGCAAAGGGTGCCAAATACATACCGTAAAAATACCTACGGTATGTATATTTATATCCTAATGTAAATTAAGTTGTTTTACAGAAAAACACTGTTATTTTACAGGTATTATCTGGATTATTACGATCAAACACTCTAACTGTAAAAACAATGCATTGTTATGATCATAGTAAAATACAGTTCATAGTAAAAAACAGTCAATGACTGTCAGCAATGGCTGCCATACAAAAAACATAAAATAAATGTAAAATAGCCTAATTTAAATAAGTGCAAAAGTAGAAATCTTCATTAAGCTCTTTAACAGAAACACAGTTATTTCACATATTTCCTGATTTTTTTATTAAGAAACATGTAGGTGATGTATGATTTTCTGTCACTATACACTGTAAAAAAAAATCCTAATTTCACAGAAAATAACTGTGATTTTTGACGACCATTTTCTTTCATTTTAAATTGTACTCAAAACACTGCAAAATTACAAATAATATCTGGAAAATAAAAATGCAGCTGATATTTTAGGTATTAAAGAAAAAATTCCAGTCATTCAAATTTTTTTTACAGTAATTGATTGTATTTTTCATACAGTATTTTTCTGTTTTCTTAAATTACATAAACATTTATGTAAAAGTACAAATAGAATCTGTAATTAAATAGTAACAAAACAGTTAAATGATTACATGACTGTAGCTCAAAAAACTGTAGCATTAAAGTAAAACGTCATAAATTAAATAAACTGAAAAACACTGTTATTTAAAGTATTTCCTGCATTATTATGATCAAATACCGTCATTGTAAAAAAATTGTTAAAAAAGGGTCAATTCACTGGCAGCACAGGGTGCCAAACAAAAACCATAAAATTACAGTAAAAATATGTTAATTTAAATAAAAACTTGACGTCACCATGATTGAGATCAGTGTTTGCTTTAGTTGAGCTCTTGACCTTTATTATATGATATTATTTTTACTC